CAAATTACTCTACCAACATCAAGATATGACATTTAGTTTAGACAAACAAAGTTGACAACATTGAAGAATTACAATAGTGCTGTAAATGTCTATCCTCAAATAATTTTATCGATATAACCTTTATCGATATATTATCTATCGATATTTTTACATAATAAAAGTTAGATTATTAGAAATATATTTTTTTACGTGGGGATTGAGTAAAAATGCCGATGAGGATAAGAAATTAATGTATTTTACACACAGCAATTTGTAATTATATCTCTACAATTACGTACAAAAATATGTATAAAGAAAATATAAAATAAAAAACGCCCTATTATACTAGTAATTAATTAAGTAAAAAATAAACGACGACTCCGTAGCGCAGTGGCTAAGCGTTTGGCTGCGGCATCGCAGGATCGAGGCTTCGTCGCCGCACTGAAAAATTGTTGCTATGCTGTAAAATAAATAGTCTGCGTCTGGATGCTTGTTTTCAAAATTTGTTTTTTTTAAGGGTAAAAATATTAGGTTTTTAACAATGATTGGATTAAATTGCTTTTATGTGTAACAAATACTATGTACAAATCGCTAGGCTTCTACGCAGAGGTACCTGTTATGTACATACTATTCGCAGAGATCGTTTACTAATTGTCGCTTTCAAGGTGAGTGCTCATTATAGCTAATGTTAATAGATGAATCTATAAAAATTATTTATAACCAGGTAATTAAAAATAATTTTAGTTTATTTATATAATCGAATTCTTACCAAAATGATACTTTAGAGGGATATTATTTTTGCTACATATAAATGAAACCTAATTAACATACACATAATTGGGGAAGTTTAAATTAAGTCCACTGATGATATAACAGTTCGTTTTAGTTGGGTTCAAAAGCAATGTTTGCCACAAATATGTTTTAACATGTGAATCGTTTCAATTGGTGAATGTGCCAGCTATTTCAACCAATGCTTGCATCTGAAAAAATAATATAAATGAAATCACATTTTTATTGAACAAATAGAATGTTAGCAGTCGCAATTGACTGTATAGTTTCTAAGTATAGTTCGTTTCGGATTGCCATACTATCGAACTATCAAATTTAGGAAATAGTGTGTTTGTATTTGTTGACACAATCGTACACTATAAAAACCTGTCCTACGTAGATGGCTAGTCCAAAAATGTACTCGCGGTAAATACCATATTACTATTAAAGTTGAAATCACCACATACCTTTCATCATCTAAGGGAAATATTGCTACAAATAGCCTTTTCTTGTTATTATTTTTTCCGCTTCTTGCACCATTTAATTGGAAAGTTTTATAATGCATATTTTTATATTTTTTAACCATTCTGTAAATGAACAACGGCTCCTATAGCAAAACTAAAAGCAATCTTAATAAATAAAATATATACAAATATAATCGTTTGATGTGACATTTGAACCTATTTGATTTGACAATGTCGTTAATAGACATTTTACGAAAAGCAGAAAGAAGACATAGCCGTCATTAAAATTTGACCCCTGTAGTACATATAATTTTTACTATGGAAGTTGCACCAGCCTGAATACAGGAGCAGCAAACCGCCGCCGGTCAAGTTCCCGCCAAAAACTGTATAAAGTTTCGATTTAACACATTGAGCAAAGAGTATATATTCACTATGTTTTGTACCTTAGAGTAATATCCTCTCAATACAGAATATAATATATTCTTTGGTACTATCATGGGGAGTTGTGGGGAGTCATAAGTATTTTTTTTGTGTAAAGGAATCCATGCTCATGCTGCCTTGTCGGACGTCTATTTTGTTTACAATATTAAAAGCATAATATATATATTATATATATATAAGCTGTGCCCCGCGGTTTCACCCGCGTATATCACGCGTCTGCGCATTGCAACATCCGAACTTCGAGAGAGACATCACGATGAACGGTTGCTGAATTAACAAAGATATAAAAAATGAAATAAGTTACTAAAATTACATGTAACGTAATTGGTGGTTATGCATGATACAGGTACTGATACGAATAATGTGGCCTATTTTGTACCGGCGTTACTATTTCACATTTTAACATGAAAAAGTAGTTATTGTGACATAACTGTAATATTTAAATATATGGTATAGTAGACTTTTTTGTAGATATTGATATCTCTATAAAACTGAAGTACATTACTTTGCTCTATTATCAATAGTTTCCGCAGCGTACGCGATATAAGGATTCCTTTTGGTATTTTTTTCACACCTTGGGTTACATTAACGAAGTTTTCATACGGATCCCTAACTTTTTTGAAAATATTATATAGCCTATATTCATCAGGGATAATGTAGGATTCTAATGGTCAAAGAATTTTTCAAATCGGTCCAGTAGTTTCGGAGCCTATTCAATTCAAACAAACAAACAAACAAACAAATCTTTCCTCTTTATAATAGTAGTGTAGATATATATATATATATATATATATACATATATATATATATATATATATATATATATATATATATATATATACATATCGCAAATGAGTGTGTTCTAATGTTTTAATCACAGAACGTAATTCTATTTGATGTCTGTGTCGGTAATGTCAGTTATTTCTTATCATTGAGTACTGTGTGTTATATGTATTTTTTTATTATTCCATCAAAAATGATCTGTATCACCTATGCATAGTATTTTTTTATTTTTTTTTTTAATATTTATTATTTTCTATTCTGTTAATGCTGGTAGGAAATAGATGTAATTAAAAGTAAATCTTTGTAGTTTATAATTTTTATCTGTTTATAGTTATTAGTATTTTTCTAAATAGTTTATAGTTATTTGTATTTTTTTCTTGTCGTAAAAGATAACATGTCTTTTGGTGAAAGTGATCACAATCAAAGCTCCTCTTCTTTCATTTCAGCATCCGATGTAATAAGTAATGATGACAGTTTTGAGAGCATTCCTCCATTAAAAGATACTCTTGACTTTCATTTTTCTCAAGCTCTAAAAAACCTCAATATAGTTCACATAAATGCACAGAGTATTCCGGCTCATTATCCCGATATGTTAGCTAGCTTTGTAAGTGATAACGTTCATGTAATTCTCGTTTCGGAATCATGGTTAGAGCCATGTCTTCCATCCATATCCTATTCCATTCCAGGACTCCAGTTAATACGCAACGACTGAACTGCGCGGGATGGTGGTGGTATTGCCATTTACCTTCGTGCGCATAAACCATTTTCTATTGTTCGTTTATCATCTCAATTTCTAACTGAGAATGAAGCGGAATACTTATTTACTGAAGTACTTCTTTCGCACGACAAATTACTTCTCGGAGTTTTTTATAGTCCTTCTTCCACAGTTGACTATTTTACTACATTGGATAGCCTTCTTGAAGAGTTAACTCCATTATATACACATAAAGTGCTAACGGGGGATTTTAATACTTGCCTTCTTAAGAATGACGCCAGATCTCTTCGGCTTAAGTCCAGCAAGAAGAAGTAGAAGCAGCCAATTGAAATATTCTTCCTCTTTCTGAAACTATTTTTTTTCCTAACTGTATCCCATCGCTCCTTGATTTGGTTATCGTTTCTTCTATCGACCATGTTGATAAATTTGGCCAATGTACTGCCAACGCCTTTTCCTTTCAAGACCTACTGTTTCTATCTTATAAAGTTAGATCACCGAAAACAAAATCAAGGATATTTCTGCAGCGTAATTTTGAGGAAATGCATTTGGAAAAGCTTCAAAATGACGCTACTGATATGGACTGGAGTTTTACAACAAATGCTTGCTCAGTTGACGAACAGGTAGTATTTTTTAATTCACTTCTTATTCAGCTCTACGATATACATGCTCTTGTCCGTCCAGTGTGAATACGTCATCCTCCAGCCCCGTGTATGACTGAAGATCTTAAAAGATTGATAGTTAGGAAGAATAACGCAAAGTCGACTTACAGGTCAGATCCAAAGAATGACAGAATTCGGAGAAGTACAGACTCCTGCGGAATCAATGCAACAAGATGTGTAGAGATTTACGATGCCGTCATTTCCATAAATCAGTACAAAACGAAGATCCATGTCGTCTTGGGAACTTTTTAAGGCCCATAGGAGTTGGGAAAACACGTTTATATACCAAATAACGTTGATTTAAATTTGCTTAATCAGCATTTTTCTTCTGTTTCTTGCTTGGATAATTTATTTTTGTATATGTTACCGGAAATGTATGTAGTCCGTTATTGTATACAATTCCTAGGAAATGTATGTAATTCCTAAAATCGCACGGAAATGTGTTAAATAAATTATATTACACACATTTCCTAGGAAATCTATACATTGTCTAAATAGCACTCGGAAATGTAAATATTTGAGATATCAATGGGTATGCAGGGATAGCGGGGCGAGGGGAGGGTATTGTTTTGTCTGATCAGGTGATCTCGCTAGTGCCGCGTTAACTGTCAGTGTGTACGCACGTTGCTGTTGTTCAAAATGGCTACCGAATCACGCATCGTGCTTATGAAAGAGCGATTTTATAGTACTTTAGCGTCATTAAGAACGTTAACAAACGCTAAGAACACTGCTTATATTGAAGATGAACGTCATAAAGACTTAATTGAAGAAGTTTCTACGGCAAAAATAACAGCTAGAAAGACTTCTCGTGATTATTGGTTATTGCGGCGATACGACGTGCTTACCATTGACCAGAAAAGTAAGCTTATTTTTCCTGTTAAAGACACTACAAGCACTATTATTTACTACGCATGTGATAGCGAGTTATTCGACATATTACACGAGGCACATATTGAAATTGGTCACGGCGGAAGAGATCGTATGACGAAAGAGGTAGGGAGTCACTACAAAAACATAACATGTAAGGATATAGAACCTTATCCTGAAATTTGTGAACCCTGTCAACAAAAGTAAAAAAACATCAAAAAAGGCATTGTTGTAAAGCCTATTATATTGTCAGAGTTTAACTCCAGATGCCAAGTGGATCTGATAGATTTTCAGCCCCAGCCCGACGGTGATAACAAATTTATAATGGTGTATCAAGATCATTTAACAAAATTTATTGTTTTAAAACCACTTAGAACAAATCGAGCTGAGGAAGTGGCTCACACTTTATTGGACATATTTACTCTACTTGGTGCTCCTGCAATACTTCAGTCTGATAACGGCAGAGAATTTTCCAACCGACTTATTGAGAATTTAAAAACATATTGGCCTACTTTAAAAATTATTCATGGTAAACCCAGGCATTCGCAAAGTCAGGGGAGTGTGGAAAGAGCAAATCAGGATATTGAAAATATGTTGACCACGTGGATGCAAGACAATAATAATTCACATTGGAGTGAGGGTTTGAGATTTGTGCAACTCATGAAAAACAGAGCTTTTCACGCTGGTATTAAGCAATCTCCTTATGAGGCACTTTTTGGGTGTAAAGTAAAAGTTGGTTTACAGTTACCCAATGATTTCACGCAAAATGTAGAAACTCAAGAAGATATGGAGAAAATTATACAAGACCTTACCAAAAAGAAAACGGAAGACAAGTCAAGTTTCTAACAACGATTCAGATCAACGCGAAACAAATACGCAACCTTCAGCTTGCACCCTCCAATGCAGCGTCTGTTCACAAGAAACTACAGAGGCTCATACATGTAGAGAATATGGATGTGCAATCCACGCTATTTGCGCTGTTGCTGAAGAATCATCTGATAAAGGACTTGGATCTAAAGTTTTGTGTCTATTATGTTCAAAAAAATATAAAGTACAAGATAATTGTCAAAGTGCTAAGAAAAACCTACAACAACAGGCTGAAAAAATGCTAAAATCGAGTGAAAAGAAGTTTGCTCCTGTACCTATTGGCACTTCTGTACGAATTGCAGTTCCAGAGGTTGACAGAGGACGTGGTGATGCCCGAAATATTATAGGTGTAGTTTTGGCTAAATCCGATGATGAACTTTATCAAATTGGTACCAAGAACGGAATCTTAAAACAATCATATTCGCGATCTCAGATTAATGTGTGTCCAAGAGCTCTTCTTGATTCAGAGGATGTACCGAGTACGGAGATAGCACTACGGTCAGTTGCTAACCTACAATCCACTGGAACCGGCCAGGAATTTAAAAAGTGCCATTGCAAGAAAAACTGTACTACAGCAAGATGTCTGTGCTATAAAAATAAATTATTGTGTAATTCCAAGTGCCATTCCGGCTTACTCTGCAAAAATAAATATAATAGCCATAAGGACTGACTCGTTATATAATACGAGTATAAAGACTTAGTTTAATATTGTGACATTTATAATTACTTAAATAACAGACTAATTACTTACCCAACGAAAGCTTGACTTTATGAGAATAATACAAGTCGATTTTGTGATAAATACACTTTAAAAGTTCCTAGATACTTGATTTTCGAAGCTTGAATTAGTAAGATAATATGAAGATTATTATATTTTACGAAATGACTGTACCTGAACGCTGTTGTCTCAACGAGTGCTTTAATAAAAATTATTATTCTCATTTTAACAACGTGTTTTATTACAGAAATCATTATTTTTATACATTTCCTAATACGATATTGGAATTGTATACAATTTCTAGGAGTTGTGCACATTTCCTAGGACATTTATGTATTAAATAGTTTTTGAAACAATATTTCATACATTTCCTAAATAGCTTCGGAATTATATAAATTTCCTAGGATTTGTATACAATTCCTAGATTTCATAAATTTCCGGTAACATATAAAAATTTATTTTTGTGGGCCCACCACGAATTTCAGAGAACTTTAGTAAAATGTATGTCATTTTATTCCTTATAATCTATAAATTACAAAATTAATATTAGTTTTATCGCATCTAATGGGAATTCTGAGAAATTAACAATTGAAATATGAATATCACTGTTTAGGCCCAATAATGGTCATTTGAGACGGCATCCAATCGCCTTCGACTTAGCGAATCGCCCGATGGTGTTAGGAGTTGCAGCGTCGCGGGGAGGGGGCATCGGTATACAAATTCCCAGTGTTTGGCGCTCGTGCGCGAAAACAGCAGCTTGAGAGCGACTGTTTTCGCGCACGAGCATTTTGTATTTTCGTGACAAGAGGCTTGTATTGTATTTGACTAATTAGAGTAATTTCGTTGCAATTGTACCGTCGCGTTAAGACCCTTTTGTGTGTTGACTCTTTAGTTGCTTTGCGTGTCAGCTAGGTTGATTTTGAATTCTTATTGCGGCGTAGTATTTAATATAGTACGAAGGAATTTAGTTGTTGTTTGTAACGCTGAACTTTGTGACTCGTGAAGAGATCGCGTTAGTTCCCTATTTGTAATTTGGTGATAAATGAATCCGGAACCTTGAATATTGAACTTTGAATTGTTCGTTACTTGTGTCGGGTATTACGTGTTTGATTTTACGATGAACGTTGAATTAGTTGAGTTGAAGTTAATTAAATGTACAATAAAGTTGATGGATTGAAATAGTGTACAATAAATTTGATAAACTGAATTAGTGAAGTTGTCACTTGGTGACGCCTGCTGGAGTGATGCAGCATTGTGGGGTAGCATGGGACGAGGTCGCTGCCCGGTCACCTCAGCTGGGCCAGGTCACATAAATATACACACCACTAAACACCACTTTACATTCACCTACAACTACCTACGGCCTGACCGAGCCTTGGTGCGGTCTTAGCTTCGGATCCAGGTACGTACTATTTATTTAATTAGCCTTCTCCCTATTGTGTAGTGTTTTAGGTCAATTGTCCATGTGGCCATTTTGGCCCGAACCCTCGGCTGCCCGTCGAGGAGGCTACTATGGGCCCTAGCCAAGGCGACCCTTGCAGGGGCAGCTGGGGGCCGTAACAACACAATTACCTCAAAACAAACTAAACGCGATTTTCTAGTACTTTTCACAGATATTATGAGTTAGAATAGTGTATATAGAATAGAATAGCTTAATAATTCATAGTATTAAAAAGTTGTAGGTACATTCAGCAATTATTGGTCCTTTAAGATTGATGGAAAATCCTTTTAACACTTCCTTCACGTAGTGCACAGACAAACATACGTAGTGTTAGGGACTATTTTTTACAGGTATTAATTGATTAGAGAATATACATCACAAGCACCATTAAAGTAATTAAATAAATATGATTAAAGACGAGATGAATAACGGATAATATGTCCATTTATAATATTACCTTTACATGCTATATAATAATAAATATGTTTTAAACCGTTTGTATAAGGCTAAAACATAAAGTGAAATGCCACTGCATTTATTGTTGTAATTATTTCCAAAGCAGTCTATTAATAGTGAAACAGACAGACAGGTGCGGTGTCAAGATTTTAATATGTTTTGGTTGAATCAGTAAAGGTGCAGTGTGTAAACTTTGTTCTAAAATATATTAACTGATTAGTTATCATACCCCAAATACCATTAAAGCCAAAATAACTAGGTAATATCATGCTTATCTATGTTATATTATTACACATATAAATATGAACTAAGATGTTGTAAACTGGTTGCGTAAGTATAACAAAAACACATGTATAATTTCATTGTAATATTTAATTTTAATTTAATTGTATTTTATAATGTTATTATTGTCAGTCATTACCATTTCAAAATAACTTGATAATAACACAACAAGGATATTTTTAATGTTATGAGATATGATATAAGACTGTTGTAGTTGTATTCAAGATCCATAATATACTTTTTTGTCGCTGCCTACGAGTAGCTCAGCAAGATTTCAGCCTACAAGACATAAACACCTGAAAAAGTTAATGAATATTATATATATTATTTTTTCTATATTTATTGCAATCTAAATAGCATGTGAAGTCTATGTTTATGTTTGTATTGATTTACATTTCGAACACTATAAAGCAAAAACAAAACACATCCACATATGATATTGTTAGAAATCAGGACATTTTCAGTAATAAGAGATATGAGATAAGACTATGTATATATCAATAAACTACAAACCCATATTTCTGTCAGTATTTTGTTCTCTACCTGTAAGTTAAATAAATAAGAAATTATTATAAAATATACACCATTAATCAGCTCCAAATGACCAAATACACAAGTAGTAATTATGGATTTACATCAACAATATCTAACTATGTATAAGTTGTCTGACTTCTTATTTTCACTTGCTTTATGTAGAGGGAAAGGATAATATTTTTATATTAATTATCTGATAGTAGATTACAAAATAATATTCCTTTTTGCAGAATTAACAACACATTAGTCTAAGGATAATATAAGCATCTGATCAACAAATATACTTATGCAAACTGTATACTTGCTTCTAGTACAAGTAATTACTGCTTATTTACACATAAATATATGTACTATCTATACTGCCTATCTATTGTGGCTAGGGTAGCCAGATGGGCGGGATTCGTCTGGATTCTCCCGACATTTTAAATGATCTCCAGACTCCCGACAAAACTCAAAATCTCCAGACAGACAGCTTCTCTGAAAATTCTATACAAAATAATAATTTTAAATTGCCACGCGCGTTCACTTTTTTATTCGTCATGTCCCGACAAGATGGCTATCACTTTTGCCCACTTTAGATCATTTAATGTATTGTTAGTCCACTGTAAATCAGTATTTTATGTTGAAAAGGGAAGACGAATGTGGAAAAGGAATATTAATATGGGAGTTTGTAACAAAAAGTATAAGCCATATTGATAATAATAGTGAACGGGTTGACGGATGCAAACAGGAAGGCGATTTCAGAAGCATATTTATACTTTGTAACATAATGTTGGAGTTCCAAGTAGCAATTTTAGCATTGGGAAGTGCTGCATGCACTGTCCTAGAACTTGAAAGAACTAATGAATCATCTCAAAAACACATTGCATGACAAGTTCTTAGGTAGTAGAAAAATAACCTTATTAAGGAGTGTTTCCGATAATGAGAAAACCCTTTTTTGCGTCAAAGCTGAACATTTTTTAAAACGAGCTATTCAACACTTGCAAGAACGCTATTTTTTTATTTATAGCTATTTTATTATAGAACTCTATATAAAACGCGCTCTATTGTCTTTCATCATCATCATCATTACAGCCCTTCCCAAGTCCACTGCTGAACATAGGCCTCCCCCAAAGAATGCCACAAAGCACGGTCCTGAGCCACCTGCATCCATCGACTTCCTGCGTGTCTTACCAGGTCGTCACTCCATCTCGTGGGGGGACGCCCTACACTTCGCCTACCGGTACGAGGCTGCCACTCGAGAACCTTTCTTCCCTTCCCCATCGGTTGTCGGTTCTTCGAGCTATATGGCCGGCCCACTGCCATTTCAGCTTACTAATCCGTTGGGCTATGTCGGTTACTCTGGTTCTACTGCGGATATCCTCATTCCTAAGTTTATCACGCAGAGAAACTCCGAGCATAGCCCTCTCCATAGCTCGCTGAGCGCCCTTGAGCTTCCTCATACGGCCAGCAGTGAAGGACCACGTCTCAGTTACATAAGTCATCACTGGCAACACGCACTGGTTGTACAATTTCGTTTTCAGGTTTTGAGGTATGTCTGACGAGAAG